CACGTGTGTCAGAGGTGACACATGAACTCATTTTTTTGGTTGATTTTTCTTTGTTAAATGGCATTTAAATATATAAAATAAATATCAAAAATATAAATCTTTGTTTTACTATGGTTGCAAATATCAAAAAATTTCTGTATGTGACACGGCACCAGAGTTAAGTTAGGGTTTTTCAAAATGCTGACACGCCGAGCTCAAAAGGTTCGTCATCACTGACCTAGGACATATATGGGATACATATACATGATGATGCAGATTGTCACTAGTTCTAAATATGGTTCTTCAGATCTTACAGTAATCACTGTTCCAAATGCTCCTATTTGTGGTAAGAGAAATCAGAAAATATAGATAGATAAATGATAGTCAGTCACCAAGTAGAGTGGGAAAAAGATGGATTTTGGATCATACAGAAACTGCATTCAAATCTCACCTTTGCCATTTCCTAGCTATGTGGGCATGTTGCTGACTTGCATGTAAAAAAAGAGATAGTAAAGCACATAATCTATATGTAAAAGGCTAATATGCTAAGTGTCTGACAATCTGACCAGTTGCTATGACGCACACTGACCAGCAGGGGGCAGGTGCTCAACGCAGGAGCTGCTGTGACGCACAGTGGCTGGCACCACGGACCTGGCACCGACAAACCAACACTCGGCTTCCCCCAAGTGGGACACAGGCCCTGCCACCACCCCGGAGTGACACCCCACCAAAACGCTGCCAAGACCCCATGGTGCAAAGTGCGGCCCACAGCCCAGCCCAGCCCTGAAATGGTGGCTGTGGGTGCTGGGTAATGACATCACGGAGCAACGCCTGGCTTCCTCTCCCTAGCGATGACTAGCCTCCTTGCAGTTTCTTCAGCCCAGGAACACCACTTGCTTTATAGCCAGGTGCAAACATTTCACACTTTAACCAAATGTCTGTGAAGCATTTTCCCATGCCTCATCTCATTTGATCCTCACAGAAGTCCTGGAGTAGGTAGATAGGAGACTTGGTGGAATCCTATTTTCTTTTCATTAGCCAGAAAATGGAGATTTAGAAAGCTTCGAAACTTGACCCAACTGAAAAGAAGAAATGGTGGACCTTGAAAATGACTTCAGGTTTTCTCACTGTGCAGAATATAGTCAAACACTGCGGCAGTTAAATACCCTTTGTTCTCCCTGTGTGATCTACAATAATAATTTGCTTCGTGTTGATATTTACTGCTGTGTTGCTGATAATTACCTGAAAGAGATGTTGGGGTGCTTCACTAGGCTTGAAAAAGTTTAGCTACATCAGAAATCAGGTCTAATTAAGCAAGTTTGTTCTATATCTATAAAAGGCTAAGTTGACTTGCACATGCGTGATACATATAAAGCTCTCACTGGTGCCAATCGCACGTGTGTGTTTCGATCTGTCATTGTCAATTGTGAATGTGGTTGGCACTTCTATTATAGAGAAAGGGCGAATAGCAATATTAAAATATTTCTTCTAATTAATTTCCTTTCAATGTGCATGAATTTGTGCACTGGGCCACTAGTAAGTAAATAATATAGTAACTGGCATAGAAAACCCTTGACTGTAGTTCTTTCTTATGTTTGTTAGCTTTTAGATGTACCTAATTTTTTATTGATTGATTGATTGACTTTAGAGAGAGAGAGATGGAGAGAGAGAGGAGAGAGAGAGGAGAGAGACAGACAGGCAGACATCAATTTGTTAATCCACTTATTTATGCATTCATTGGTTGATTCTTGTATGTGCCCCGACCTGAGATCAAACCAGCAATCTTGGCATATCAGGACGACCCTCTAACCAACTGAGTTACCTGGCCAGGGCCAGATGTGCCTAATTTTTAAACTACTGAAGCAGCAACAGTCCTATCAGCAATGGCTCATCCTTCTTCTTGCTTCTGTAAATATTTGGTCATTCACTTACTCATTTCCTCAGCTAACATTTATTGATCAATAACTATGTTAGATGTTATGCTGGGTTCAGGGGGCCAACAGAGATGACGAAAACACATAATTCCTGCCCTCCACGGGCTGTCCTGGAATTTGGCCCCTGTTTTCTTCCCGAGAAAAAGAGAGAGAAAGCAAATGTAGCAAAATGTTAATAATTGGTGAGTCTAGGAGAAGGTATATAGATATGGATTGCGCTTGTCTTTCAACCTTTCTGTGAGCTTAACATTTTTTAAAATAGAGTTGGAGCCGAAACCGGTTTGGCTCAGTGGATAGAGCGTCGGCCTGCGGACTGAGCTATAACACTTGAAAGCCATTATTCCCAGTTTTTCAGCATGGAATTTATCAGTCACCTAGCCAGGTCTTAGGAGAGCAGCACAAATGTGATATGTTGGGAATGGGAGATGACAATGAGAAAGGCCTGGAAAAGTAACAGGAGTGGTGACCTAGAGCCACAGCAGGGGCCCCAGGGCAACTGGGCACCCAAAGAGTGAGAGGTCTAAACAGAAAGTGGAGGTGGAAACCAAGGGATGGCCTCCAAGCTTGAATCCTGCCCTATTCATTCTGTGGTCTCCAGCCAGCCCTGACCTCTCCTCTCAGCATGGGGGCATTTGTCACATTCTAGGCCATCTACCTCCAACTACTGACCTTCGATTTGAGCATACAAGATAAATATGTCGGTTTTGGAGTCGGCAGCCCTTGTGTGAATCTCAGCCTTGCAGAGTGAACTTGGACAAGCTAGTCCTGTGGAGCTTAGGTTTCTTACATGCAAATCCTTGATAGAATCACAATAGGTTGCATGAGGCTGAGAGAATGTGTGTAAAGCAGTTAGCATAGGGCCTGTGCCAGGTACCTACTTAATACAGTATAACAACATATACATAACCTTAGCCAATGACACTACTATCAATATACCCATTTCATGCAGAAATCTTGGCTTGATGCTTCTTTGCCTCACCCACCCCCACATCTAGTTCACCAGCATGTCCCCCAATCTTCCAAATTTCCTAAATCAGACCACTCTTCACTCTCCAAGGCTACATCTCCATCTCTTATCCAGTCCTGTGCACAGCCACCTGACTGCTCTTCCTGCTTCTATTCTGGTCCCTTCACCCCCAGATCATTTTCCACAGCAGACATTCTTAAGATTAATAGAGAATGTCACCCTCCCAATTAATTCTTCTATGGCCTCCCATCGCCCATGAGTAAAAAACTTTACCCCTGACCTTGATCTCATGGGTCCTGCCCATGTCTCCAACCTTGTCTCGTAAGCTCTACCCAGGGCTTTCTGTGTTCTAGCCTACTGGCCTATGCCTGTCCCTCAAACACAGCAATGCCCACTCTCACCTCATAGCCTTTGTAGTTGTTCCCTCTGCCTGAAATGTACTTCCCCTGTGCCTTTATCTGGCTGCCTCCTTTTCCTCCATTAGGTCTCAATCAAAAGCTCTTTGCTCAGCGAGAACCTCCGTGACCACTCTATGTAAGGGTGTGTACCACGCCATCCCCACTGGCCACCATGCCCTGTTTCACCATCCTTAAAGCACTTGTCATTCTCTAGGATGATCTCGTTGGTTCATTCAGCCCTTGTACATCCCCCTTACGGAATGAAAGCTCCGGGGAGCAGTAGACAGTAACCTTGTGTCTTGTTCACTGTCTGTCAGCTCAGGCTGCCAGAACAAAACACACAAACTGGAGGACTTAAACAACAGAAATTTATTTCCTCACAATTCTGGAAGCTGGAAAGATCAAGGTGCTGACAGGGTTTGGTTCCTGGTAAGATCTCTCTTCCTGGCATATAGACAGCTGCCTGCCTGCCGTGTTTTCACATGGTCTTTCCTCCATGTGTGCCCCTGCAGGGAGAGGGTATGAACGCTCTAGTGCAGCGATTCTCAACCTGTGGGTCGCGACCCCTTTGGGGGTCGAACGACCCTTTCACAGGGGTCGCCTAAAACCATCGGAAAACACATATATAATTACATATTGTTTTTGTGATTAATCACTATGCTTTAATTATGTTCAATTTGTAACAATGAAATTGGGGGTCACCACAACATGAGGAACTGTATTAAAGGGTCTCGGCATTAGGAAGGTTGAGAACCACTGCTCTAGTGTCTCCTTTTATAAAGACCTTAATCCTATTGGGTCAGAGCCATACCCTTATGACCTCATTTAACCTTAATTACTTCCTTTGAGGCCCCAACTCCAAATACAACCATATTGGGGATGAGTGTTTCAATATAGATATTTGGGGGGATATAAACATTCAGTCTATAACATTCACCATTGTAGCATTAACACCAGAACTTAAGAGAGAGCTTGGCATGTCATAGGCACTCAATAGATATTTGATAAATAAATCAATGAATTATAGAAGTTCACGCCACTGTAAGTCCATATAAGTTGCCCCACATCTAGCACTCCATCCTGCAGGTCAGGGCGTGTCACTGTACATTCCCCAGTCTGCCATCAATGCCACGGTGGAGGAAGACATCCTGCTCTCCGTGGAATACTCCTGCCATGGCATCCCCACCATCGAATGGAAGTATACATCCACCTGGGGGGTGCAGAGGATCGTGGAGTGGAAGCCAGGGACTCAGGCCAACATCTCCCAGAGCCACAAGGATAGAGTCTGCACCTTTGACAATGGCTCCATCCAGCTGTTCAGTGTGGGCGTGAGGGATTCCGGCTACTATGTCATCACGGTGACCGAGCGCCTGGGGAGCAGCCAGTTTGGCACCATCGTGCTGCATGTGTCAGGTAAGACGGCTCCAGGGGCCCTGTGCGTGGGAGGCCGACTTCATGACATTAAAAAAGACTTATCTTCCCCCTCCTCTTCCCCGTCCCCCACCCCACAGAGATCCTCTACGAAGACCTCCACTTTGTCGCTGTCTTCCTTGCTTTTCTCGCTGCTGTGGCCGCAGTGTTAATTAGCCTCATGTGGGTTTGCAATAAATGTGCATATAAATTCCAGAGGAAGAGAAGACACAAGCTCAAAGGTAATTCTCGGGGCCTTGTGATAATCAGCTCATGCTTTCATGGCCGGAAGTAGCCCACGTTAGCTGGTTCTCACCAAAAACCACCTTATGGCTGATTTGCAACTCATGGACTTGTCTTTTGCTTTGCAGAGAGCACAACTGAGGAGATTGAGCTACAGGATGTTGAGTGTTAGCCAAAGCTGAGCCCAATGACATTCCTACCTCAAGAGGAAAACTATTTTCCAGTGGAAGGAGCAAACATACCGATCCATGCTAAGAGCCTCCTGTTGTCCTGCCACAGCCGCCCATTCCTGATGGGCCTGCCGGCCGTGGACAGAGTGGACTGCATGGAGTTGAGGACTCTGGATTGGACCAAGTCAGTTCTTGCACGTGCATGAAAGTCAAGGAGAAGAGTGCTTTGCGTGGCTGCAGCCCAGAGCTGTGCTAATCCGCGGGCAATGGCGTAGGGCAGGCACTGGCTGCTTGCTCACTGTGCTCTGCTCGGCCCAGAATATAGCCATTGGAGGCGTCCCCCTGCTGGAGGCCAGAGTACTCGAGGTCAGGTGTGCAGCCAGCAGGCTGTCTGTGCTCCTGCCTGCTCTGCCCTCCAGTCCAACCCTCTGCTGTGGGGCTGTTGTGAGAAAACGTGAGGCATTTAGACCATCTGCTGCCCAAGACAGAGGTCGGACAAGACCAAAGGGTGCTGCTGTGCTTTAGGGAGTTGCTCAGAGAAGGGCGAGCACCCCCATGGCCTGGAACTTCAGGGAAGAGAGTTTAATTTGTTCTTGAGGGACCAGCATTGAGAACAAGGAAACAGAAAATTATCTTTCTTTTCCTGTCTTGGTCCAACGTTAATGAATTTTCCCTCCTGTGGCCCCAGCTTCAGCCGGTGTGAGGAGCACAGTTTTCACCGTGGGCAGCATCTGGCCTGCAGGGGCCTCCTTGCCCGGCTGTGTGAAAGCTGGGCCTGCGTAACGGGTGGTACAATAGGAAGTCAGCATGAGGATTCTTCAGTGATCTGAAAGCAACCAGCACTATACTGAGTACTGGAAACTGATGAAATGCTCTGGAGTGTTGGGCTCCCTGTGAAATTAGGGGCTGGATCTCAGCTGGCTTTGGCCTTATTCTCTCAAGTGTTGGTGAGCATGTTTACCTGAAAGTTTCTCCACCCCCACTTCCATTTGGCAAGCTCTAAATCATGACTGCATTTATTTTCCATTATCTTTTCTCTCCAGTATTCTTAGCTACAGACCAAAGGTGCCATCTCAATTATTGGTGGAGGCTGAAGCTATTAGCTGAGTCCCCAGTCTTTAGCTGCAAATTCGCCCATGCAAAGCAGAGTAAGAATATTCCCTTCTGCCTGGCTGGTGCAGCCCAGTTGGTTGAGCATTGTCCCATGCACCAAGGGATCACTAGTTCAATTTCCAGTTGGGGCACATGTCCAGGTTGCAGGCTTGATCCCCATCAGGGGGCATGCAGGAGGCAGCCAATCAATGTTGGTGCTCTCTCATCGATGTTCCTATCTCTGTCTCTCTCCCTCTCCCTTCCTCTTAAGCTAAAAAAAAAAAAAAAAAAAAAAAGAGAGAGAGACAAAGAATATTCCCTTCTCTCATCCCCCACTTCATGTCCTTAACATCCACATCTTTTCTACTTCCCATGTGGCAGAATAAGGAGTTGTCGGCAGAAGTTAGTATGTCATCTTTCCTTGAGTAATAAATCCAGGCTTGCAGGAAGAAATCTTTAGCAATATTCAGACAGGAGCTACCAGAGATCTAGAGAAGGGCTCCGAAGGCACTACCTGACTCAAAAGGCAAGGGAGTAATTGGTCTGCACAAGTGATTTGTAGCACTAGCTCTTGACAGAAGTTCCCACCTCAGGCCACCTCCTGCACACACACGTGTGAACGTGCATCCCTGTGCCCTTTCCCTGGGCAGCCCAGGAGCCAGGCCTGTGCCGGGACAGGTTCCTTGTGCCAGTCTCCAGTGCCCTGGAAAGGCATGGGGAGGAGAACGGGGTGTCTAGGACCTGCTTATGTCTTTCTCCTTTCACACACTGCGCTCATCCGCGGGAAACCGGTTTGGATCCAGTAGCTGCTGGAGTCTGAGTCCTCTTTTACCACCTGCTTTTCAGAACTCTGCCTCTCAGCTTGTCAGACGTCAGGGGTGGAAATCTTCATAAAAGGAGAAATGGGAAAGAATGCCCAGTGAGAGGCCTCAGGGGCAAACCCAGGTGTCCATTAAATTGCCCCCCAAATATGTCATGAAAGGTTTTGCCTCTTCTTTCCATTTCTTTATTTTGCACTTTTAAAGCTCCCTCCATCCTGAACATTCCTGTGGAAAGTTTTGATTCTAGAGCCTGAGGTTTTTGTCTGTTTTTCGAGACAGGAAAATATTAACATCAGAGAAGTTAGCCACTGTAAATGTTAAGCTAAAAGTTATTATGTTTCAAACTGTGAAGGTGTTTCAAAGAATGAAATAAAACCTGAAAATGAAGTTCTGCTCCTTTGTGTGTGACTACTGTCGCGGAGAGAGGCCCCAGGGCCAGGGTCCCACAGCTGCGGGCATAAGCAAACCCCTCAGTCAAGGTCATGGGTCTGGCACATTTCTATTTATTTGTTTTCGTTTACTTGTTTCTGAGGAGAGACTTAAAAACCTTTTATTATAAAAATTTCAAACATGCACAAAAATGAAAAGTTCTAATGACTTCCCATGTACCAATTACCCAGCTTCAATAAAATTGTCAACTCATGGCCAATCTTGTTTCAGCTTTGCCTTCTCCCCAACTATATACTGCATGATTTGAAGCAGGCAGCCTGTCATTCATTTTTTAAAAAGATAGTGTCACCACATTATTGTCTGGGTTATGCATATAAGCATGTATGTTCTTTGGTTAATCTCTTACAGCCCCTCCCATCCCCTCCCCTCTGAGATCGGTCAGTCTGTTCCATGCTTCTATGTCTCTGGACCTATTTTGTTTGTCAGTTTATTTTGTCCATTAGATTCCACATATAAATGATATCTGATATTTGTCTTTCTCTGACTGGCTTATTTCGTGCAACCTAAGATGACAATAGAATGGATCACATGGTTTCTAACAGTAAACATTCTTTAGCAGTTCAGAAAAACACTTTATTATTACCATCATTCTTCCTTCTATTTGAAGTTTTTGCTTCCAGATTATAAATCTAAACTCAATGGAGTTCTTTCTGCTCCTGAAAAGGGCTAAAATGGATGTGACCACTGTACCACCTCATTCAGCGGTGCCTAGGACACTCGACAGAACATACATGCTTTGTCAACAGAATGTCCCCTCAGAGATTGTGATCTAAGAAACCAAAAAGGTGTCCTTAAAGAACAGTGTGGAGCATGCAGGAGGCAGCTGATCAGTGATTCTGTCTCATCATTGATGTTTCTGTCTCTCATTCTCCTTTCCTCTCTGAAATCAATAAAAATATATTAAATAAATAAATAAATAAATAAATAAATAAATAATGCCTTAAAATATCGGGGAAAGGGAGACATATGAGGACCACATTGGTTTTTCAGTTATTCCTCAGACAAAGCTTAAAAGAACAGGTGGTAATATCTGTGCATGTGTTCTCATGAGGACTCAAGTGTGGTCCTGTTACCGGCTCATGACAAGATAATCATGGGAACAGAAAATAAAGCACCTAGAAATTTTTATACCTGATAGCCATTTTGTCTTTTATAATAAAAGGGAAGCTTTATGCTGTATCTTTTTTAAATTTAAATTTCCTAGTGATTCATTTTTATTATATTTTTCAAAGTATCAATTTGCATGGATGGAAGTTTTTGGTAGTTTATTAAAAGCTAGTTCTTTGATGAAAATTTGAGGTTCACTGCACTACAGTGTGAGCTTTTCAAAATCACGTAAGACTCCTCATGTGAGACGAACTGTACAGGAGAACTTGGTAAAATTAGTTAAGGCAACTTTTGTGGGCCACCATAATTATGAAGCACCAAAGAGTTTTAAAATAATTAACTGCAGATTCTTACCAACTATTTCAATTTCCATGGATAGCTGTACCTTGATCAGAAAGGAGGGAAAAAAAAAGCAAAACATGGAGGTGTTATGGTATTTTATGGCTGACAAACTCCATTTTTCTTTTAAAAGGAAAAAATGGAGAAATACAAAGAACTTTTAAAAGTAACTTTTAAAAGTCATGTTATAAATTATTAAGAGTATCCTTTAAAAATTGAAAGCTGTACTCATAAAGAAACCACTATCTGTATATTATTTATAGTGGTACCAAAAGGCCCATTAGCCTAAATCTCTTAAGGGAAGTTTCTCAGGCATGTGAGGTTTGCGGCACTATTTCCAAGAATGCACACATGTTACTTGTAAAATGTAATCCATTAATCCATTAGTATTTGCCCTATGAAAAAAGCAGAGAACTGATAGCAGACGACAGGGCCAGACTTTAACTGAAAGAAGCGATCCAGGGCCACTGGGTGAAGGCTGGAGTCCCAGAGGCAGGGCGAGGCAGGAGCATGCCCTCTCGCAGGGAGTGAGGACCAAAAAGCGATCCAAGGAAGAAAGTCTCAAAGCTGAGAAAGTCCTCATGGCGCCCATTCCTTAGACCCTCGCATGCATACAGAAGACCTCTGGAGGAAGGGGCCCGTTAGAAGACCAGTGCTCGGTTTAATAGCTTTGGTAGGGAAGAGGGGGGGGGGGGGCGGGCAGGCTCCTTTGGTTGGCATGTACTTTGTTACACTTCAGGCAGAGGGTCTGTCTAGTGAATTCCAGTATGAAAGCTGTGCCATAGTGTTTAAATATTCTTAAGCAATCTTTCTTTTAACAAATTGTGGACTGAGACCATCGATTAAAGACACAACTCCTTTAGGCTGTTAAAATTCAGAAAGTATCTGGAATTTTTAACCATATGTTTTATTTGGTGTCAACATCAAATGAATGTTTTAAAAAGCAAATTCAAACCCATAAGTTAGTAACATTTCAAGTTAACTGCATAAAAATAGTATTATTTTACATTTCCCCATACTGTATACCCTATAACTAACTGTACATAAATTTCCACAAAGCATTTGTCACTTATAAAGTGAAGGTTCCAAAATGCTAAGTAAACGTTTGCCAATTACCATTTTAAAAAAACTGCTTCTTTGGAAGATTTCTCTTCCTTTTGCTTGTATTTGATCTGCAAATACCTCATGTCAAAGTTTCTGGAAACTTCCCTGGAAAAAAATTCTGGAAACTTCTGGAAGAAAATCATAGTAGACAAGGGCTCAGAGCAGACATAAGCAGCTCCATTTTATACACAAAGTTTCGACCTTCCATTTTATTCCACTGAACTTCTTTGAATGGGCCACGCAGATGATTCCATTTGCTATCTTGTAGAACATCACTTTTTGGGAGGTCTTTACACTGGTTACGTGGAAACTGAACCATAATCTTGCTGCCACTTTCAGGGCCATTGCGCACTGTGGAGCATAACCAAAATATCAATACACTATTTTTCCAAAATAGAAAACGTAGATTGTACATTCTACCATGATTACAAAAAGCTTGTCTGTTACCAACTTGAAAATTCTGTTTAAAAGTGCTTTTCAGTTTCAATATACTTAAAACTAATTTACTAATTTGTGGATAGTAGGCTGGTATAAATACTCATGAATTGCTATATGTGCTATAAAGATGTGGCAAGGTGAATTTTGGCTTAGGAAAGTCAAATGTCCTATACTAGAGGCCCGATGCACGAAATTTGCACAAGGGGCTCGGCCCTGGCGGCCCTGGCTGCCTCGAGGCCCCACCCACTGGTCGTTCTGGAAGGTCATTCCGCTGTCCAGTCTAATTAGCATATTAGCTCTTTACTATATAGGATATTTTCAGAATTGATTCTAAAACTTTAATAATCCAATCATTCAATGAGTTTATTAGTATGCACCAAATATATAATGAAACTCAAATGTTCAAATCAGGACAAGGAAGGATGAAAGAAAGATGATTTTGAATTAAGAACTCTAGGTTAATGAGGCTTTAACTATTACTTAGGGAAGAAGAATAGCGTATTTTGAAATTTTTATTAATAAAGATCTAGCAATACCAAGCTTGTAGATACACAAGCTGTGATTCTGTGGGGAAAAACTTGTAACTACCCACTCTTTCAAATATTTAGAGCAGGTATTAAAAAAGACCGCTTTAAGTCTGGAAAACCATAAGCACTCCAAATATAATTGTCAACTAGATAATAAGTGTAAGTGCTTGTTAAAGTGCCTGACTCACAGCAAGTGCTTAATAAAACACCTATTCCTCTCTTAGCCGTCCCTTTACCATCTTTAGGATCAGATACCATTCTTCCCAAATCTATAGCAGTACATTTTTAAAAAGCTCTTTTCCATTAAAGATTTCGAGCTGCAGGAGTAACAATGGTGATGGCAGTCTTCAGATGTTCTCTCAGGAAAACGTGTTTGTTGCAAGCAAACAATTTTGATAACTACTGAAAGAGAAGTTATAATCTGTTGCTCTGAAAAACAGCTATGATCAGAAACTGTTCAGTACCACTACTACATGAACTCACTCATTGCAGAGATAAATTACTCTTAGTACATTAACTATTAAAGCTAATTAAGGCCAAACTGCCAAAGAAGTAAAAGTACCTGAAATAGCATAGTCACCACTTGGGGAGGCCACTGTTATAGCGGAGGCATTGCCAATGCTCTCTATGGGCCCAAGCCCCACGTGATTACTGAAACTCAGAACTTGCCAGCCCATGACCTTGGCTAGCTGCTGAACTGCATGCACCTGATGCTGCGACATCTGTGAATGAAAAAGGACGCTTTATTGACATCGGCATGGACATTTACTTTGCAGTGACCTGACGTTATGATTGTAAACTTTTGGTGGGGTTTTCACTGCCTAGCACAGGAACCCTATGTCATGAATGAGGAATCCTCCTGTGTGTGACTACTGGGGGGAGGGCGAGGACCCCCACCCCACCCCCGCTTCCACTGCAGAAGCTAAAATAGCCTGATGCTCTCTTTCCCTGTCTACTGGCAGCTTGAGGCCAGGCACATGACCAGCTGGATGCTCCCATCTGGATCACTACATGTGGAGCAACATCCAAGGTGGCAGGGCGTGCTGAGTATCTTCCATTCACCCTTCAAGTCTACTCCAGCCTACTCTGCCCCGGAGCCTGACCTCTATGGTTACGTTAACAGCTTTCCAGGTCCTCTGGTTCTAGGTTGGGCTCAGATAGTGGGAGCCACCCAGGTAATGAGAACCGGCAGGATGGCAGGGAAGAGAGTGGGGTCAGGGTATTTATTCTCCTGGTACCTTTCCTGTGAGGTTGTCTAGGCTTGTTGTATCCAGTGATAAAAGGCTGCTGGTCTTCTCAAGGTGCTCTGTTCTACGTGACTATCCCCGTAGGGTTCCTATTACTTGTCCCTCCTCTATCCCTTTGGCCCACTGGCCTGGTTACATGATTACCACTAGCAGCAGGCTACCACTTTCCCTGGTGGCTCTCCTGTATCCCCACTTTTGTAAATCGATCCTTATAAATAAACCCTCCCGGAGTGTGCCACGTGTTGCCTGTTAGGACCCTGACTGAGTCGCAGGGGCAGTTTGAGTACATTCTGCCACCAGCCGGGAGGAGTAGTGTCAGGATGGCAGCAGTGGCACTGCCCTGGCTGTGGGTCTCACCATCTAGCTTCCTCTGCTCCCTCTCCATTTGCAAGCCTTGTCTCTAGACTCCCCACTGATCCTGGGATCTACCCAGTAGCCCTCCAATACATCTCTGTGCATGTGCCTAAGTTGGCCAAAGCCATTTTAGATGTAATCCACCAAGACCTGCCATTCCTCACAAATGCATTTCATTTACTTGGCACCAAAGACGCAAGTCAGTGTCTAATGTTATTGCTTCGAGGATGGAGAGCATCAGTATTTTTTGGAATTTTATATGAAAATATAGTATCTGGATCATCACAATTCCAGGAAGGTAAGGAAGATACTGTTGTTACTTTACGCTTGTTAAAAGTCTGGAAGTTTGTCCAGTGTCACAGAGCAAGTGTGTGGTGGAGCTAGGACTAGACCCCAGCACTTTCATACCGCCCCTTAACATGGGGAACGCTTTCATACGGCTTACGGTTAAATACTCCATTTAATATTATGGCTAATGGTTACTATGGTTTTGACCTAATCTCGCTTTCTCTGGTTTTCTTGGGTTAATACCTCTCCACCACCATGTGGCCCTGGAGGGTAAACATGAGGAAGTTTGACAGTTTCAGGCCTGATCCTTTCTCTTCAACACACACTAAGTGGAAACAAATCTAGAATATTTATCAACACTTTCAACTAAACAATAGATTGTAAGATATGCACTAGAAGAAGGCAGAAAAAATGGTTTTCTTTTTATAATTTACTATTCCCCCTTCTTACCCACTCTGGTCGTTAAGTGGTTATGGGAAGTAGGGGCTCAGGACTTGTAGTCTGCACCTCTCACCTGAGACAGAAGGAAGTCCTGCAGCTCCTGCTCCTGGTGCGACAGCGTGATTACTCTTCCATCTCTGTGTACCACGCGGATCTGCTCAACTCCAATGTTCAACTGCAGCTGAATGGACCTTGATAGACACATATACTAAAAATCAGAAATGTTCCAAATTACCTTGTCAGTGCCACAAACATTAACCCTTATCATAGAAAAAGAAAATAGCCGACACTTTTGATAACCTACACCAGCACCCATGGGGTGGGGAGCTTTCTTAGGTTCAACTGAACCATCAGAGTCAGGCAGACCACCACAGGCTACACTGAGCACCAGTCTACGAAGGGCACAGGAGAGGAGCCGTGCTTGCCAGCTGGCCAACGTCGGCTGCTCCCCCTGTGGCAGTCCTTGCAGCAGGACATGCAGCTGTCAGCGCAGCAGCGGCACACCTGGCTGAACGAGGTGAGGTCCACGCAGGGTATGTGTGGTACCTTCCTTGACTTACAAACTTCAGATGCAACAGGAGCCACGCTCACTTGTACAACTCCACAGGCATGTTTCCAGGATCCTCACAATAGACACTAACTGCCCAGTTTCACAAGCCACCCCATCCATGGACATCCACAGGCATTCCTGTCGGGTATTGATAATTCCTCCCAGTCTCAATCCATTTCTTAATGTGAGATCAATCATTTTGCCATAAGCAATGTTGCTTAGTAACACAGATGGCATTTTCCTTATCAGGTTACTAGGGGACTAGAGCGAGAGAATTAACCAAAGGTCAAATTCTCATATAGAAAGGGAAAAGTTTTTGTTAACTCTTCACCCTCTCCTGAAATAATCAGCAAACAAGTCAGATTATGGACACTATTAACTTGGTTTAGATCAAACAAAAAAACCCTCATAAAACAGACAATAACTAACACTCTGATCACAACACTTTTCCAAACCAACGTACAAATTGCTAGCACATGACATGTACAAGAAACCAAAACTACCCCAAGTCAAATAATCTAGATGAACAAATGCAGAAAAAGTAGCACTATACATTCCCACATTTGATAGTACCACATTTTATTTTACAGTAAATATTTAGGAATAAAACATTTTGGCAATTGTCTACATAAAATTATAATTTTTATTAATTAAAGTTTGCCGTATTTCTTCCAAATGAAGAACTTATTTTTGACACTTACTTGCATATTTGTTCATAACCTTGTGACGTGATTAAGACTTTCACACTAGATTCATAAACATCATTAATATTTGACCAGTGAGCCTGTATCTGAGGGTCCTCAATGCGACTTGCTAAGCTGATGGTTGCAGCAGCAGTCCTTTTAAAGAAAAGAAGTAAAAATTTTGTAAAAGCCACCATATAAAACAAGATTACAAACCATTTATCAATTTATGGAGATTTGAAAACCAGATGACATTTTAAAAATACCACCGTCTGAAAGCACAGACTTTACAGCAAGGCCGGCTGTCATGGGGCCCTCCTTCACATCACTCTGAAGTGCTGGTTCTCAGCCTCACACTGCAGGCCACTCTCATGCTCAGGCTCGTTCCTTTTAACTCCACTTGCTTCCTCCCACCCAGGAAATCTTTTTTTAAAAAATATATTTCTTTATTGATTTCAGAGAGGAAGTGAGAAGGAGAGAGATAGAAACATCAATGATGAGAGAGAAACATTGATTGGCTGCCTCCTGCACACCCCACACTGGGGATGGAGCCCACAACCCAGGCATGTGCCCTTGGCCGGAATCGAACCTTGGACCCTTCAGTCTGTAGGCCGATGCTCTATCCACTGAGCCAAGCCGGCTAGGGCTCCCACCCAGGAAATCTTATCAGAACACAGCGAGAAGGAGACTTGTTGGGTACTAATCTCAGCTCTAAAAATAATATAATCATTCATAAATATTAATACTTGATCTCTGCTAACAAATGACTTGGGACATACCCATGCTGTAATGGAATTGTAATTATTTGCATGAGAAGCTAGAAAAACATTTTGCATAATTAAAATCTTATACTCCAGGAAAAATAGGAATGAATGAGAACTAAGATTCCTCAAGAGCTAATTATGTAGCAAATATTATAAGTGTTTTCATGAATTATATAACTTAATCTTACTAACAACCTTGTGAAGTAGGTACTATTATTAGCTCCATTTTTCAGAAGAAAAAAGAGCAGTGTAGCGATGTTAGGTAATGTGCTCCAAGGTTACAGAGCTGTGAGCCAGGGTACAAAACCTGGAGTCTAACTCCAGAGCCAGTAATCTTCCCTTTATACTTTTTTAAAAAATACGTTTTTATTGATTTTAGAGAGAGGGGAAGGGAAGGAAAGAAACATCAATCGGCTGCCCCCTGCACGCCCCCTACTGGGGATCAAGGGGATAGAGCCCACAACCCCAGCATGTTAGAAAAAATATACTAAGTTACATGGGCCATGGATCTGAGTCTTCCCCAAACTTGACAGGACCATTTATGATCATAAACTCTCACACTGCAGCCACCTTCCTTTCCCTGAGAAGAAAGGTTAAAGCATTTCCAAAATAACACGTGAGATAAATAATAAAGGAAAAAAGGCTGTGGTTTCAAAACACACACACACACACACACACACACACACACACACACAAACACACGTGCGCGCGCGAGTGCAGTAACTTCACTCAACCTTACCTACTCCTCAGAAAAATATGCTTTGCTTGTTTAATTATTTTTTCCAGAAGCCCTTCACTGGACTGTAGAGAACTGATTTCATTTTTATCAAAAGCTTGAGGACCGGAAAGTCTCATTCTCTTGTGGCCGAAAGGTGCACTTGCTGGATGAGGCATCATGACGGAACTCAAGGTCTGTTTATGAAACTGTAACAATAACAGTTGTTATACACGATCATTACCCACATATTAATGACTACACAGTGCTCAGTCAAAGAACAGCTCACATTTGGAAACATGAAAGCAATGGATCTGAACCACATAGGCAGTCTTGGCACACAGATAAATGCTAACACCGAGGCCATGTGTAACGAGTCTGTAAAGAGAAGGGTCCCTCTCAAGCTGTTTTTTATTTTATTTTAGAAGTTTTAAAGTACAAGACCAAGTATTCTTCAGTAGATCTCACAATAGAACACATGCGATCAGTACTAGTTAGTCCACTATACCCTCAATTAGAGGCTCCCAAACCTGGCTCCTACAGAGCCACCTGCGGACATTGGAAAGAAGACTGATTCTCATACCATTACAAACAACTGAACCAGGCGCAGGGATGAAGTAGGGGAGGCTGCATGTATATTTCTATTAAAAGTTTCTCAGGGGTTCTTTTGAAATTGGCCTAAACTGTGAACCAGCACTCTGGAAACACAGTTTTAGATGGCCTGTAAGTGGTATATATCCCGAGACAGCAGGACTATCCTGTTCAGGCTCTGGCAAGTCATTTATCCTGATCACCCAATCAGAATCATTCTTCCCTCTGCGCCCTTTAACATGCGTTTCTTTCTTTTTTTTAAAAAAATATATTTTATTGATTTTTTACAGAGAGGAAGGGAGAGGGATAGAGAGTTAGAAATATCGATGAGAGAGAAACATCGATCAGCTGCCTCCTGCACACCTCCTACTGGGGATGTGCCTGCAACCAAGGTACATGCCCTTGACCGGAATCGAACCTGGGACCTTTCAGTCCGCAGGCCAACGCTCTATCCACTGAGCCAAACCGGTTAGGGCTAATATGCGTTTCTTATACCTCCCTATAAAACATGTGGTATCTTTCTACCACTAGCAGCTATGCTAGGGAACAGAGACTGTATTCTGATCATCTCTATATTCCCCAAGCATATAGCAAAAATCTTTCTCATCACAGACAGTGAATGTCATTGTTATGTGATTAATGAGGACGTGGCAGGGGGGAGCTTGTGTGTATTCACTTCCCTGGACATGCTCACCGCAATGCAAACGAAAGTATTTATTTCATTACCTCTCTAATCAGTAGATGCAAATTATGCTCTAGGACATAAAGGTGGTCCTCCGGACTTTGCTTCTCTGTAGCAAATTTTTGGGATTTCTTGTCATTTGAGGAATGGCACAAAGAAATTGATAACTGCAAGCCTATTTATAAAAAGAAGTAGAACAGATATAAATAATCTCATCTATGAAAAGGCACAACCTGTCTTTATAAAGTATAACCACAGCCCATTCTCAAAAGATACATTCTAAACTTAAAGAGGAGGCTTCAAAATGACTATTCATGAATGCAATAAACTACCATGTATTTTAACAATTCAAATTCTGTTGACCTTGAGCTGTGGCTAAAGACAGGTGAACAGAAGCTATATATTAATTAATTTGTTTCTTCTTCCCTTTAAATTAAAAAAATGATAACTAAAAAAAAGAAACCCAACAGAGTTGGTATCTGGTCTTACTAATGAGGCGAGAGATACTCTTCCCTGCTTCCAGGATGAAGGGAACCAGGATGAAGATTTTCATTCCTAAAACCCATTCCCTTGGCAGATCTAGGAAGATACTCCTCAGAATTCATGTAAAAAACAAGTGCCCAGCTAACTACAAACTGATGACCAGGGGAAATCTAACTGCCTTTTAAACATATAATTAAAACTAATTTCCACAAATTCAGAAATATGGGTACTTAATAGATTAAGCATTTTCTAAGTGACATCTCAGACAATAAGGCAGGATCCCTGAAAAGTCTTTGACGCATGGCGTTAGCAGAGACACCTCAAAGCAACTGTGGCTGAATAATGGCCTTGCTGGTGCAAAGTTTGAACACGCGCTGTTTAAAATCTGGAGTTCCACTATTTAGGCCAGGGGTCCTCAAACTACGGCCCGCGGGCCACATGCAAATACAAATATTGTATTTGTTCCTGTTTTGTTTTTTTACTTCAAAATAAGATATGTGCAGTGTGCATAGGAATTTGTTCATAGTTTTTTTTTAAACTATAGTCCGGCCCTCCAACGGTCTGAGGGACAGTGAACTGGCCCCCTGTTTAAAAAGTTTGAGGACCCCTGATTTAGGCCATAGAATCAGTAGTGTGGCTTCTGTTGCATGCTTTCCCAGCTGCCCTTATGGACAGCACACCACCTCTTTGCTCTTACTGTTCCTTTGACAACTCTTTATCTTGTTCCCCAAACCACAAAGTCCTACTTATAAATCTCGAAAGGGTTGGCTGCTCATACTTGGAAAGGGCTGAGAGATGATCTGGTTTTTCACCACAATGTGAGGGATCTGTGATTTAATTTGAACAGCTTCCCGAGAGAGCTGTGCAAAAATTTCTTTACACAAGAGAACATTTTGTGCTGCTTCTAATTTCGTCTGCCAATGTGGGGAACCTGAAAGACAGAAGACATATACATATGTAAATTATCTAAGTATATTATGCATTAACTAGTTTAAATGGTGATCTGAATACATATAACAGAAGTTCAGAAACATTATATTGCAGCATATACTTTCCAAAATACAGAAATTATTACTTCTTTTACGTAAAGAAAACTGGTAAATAAGTTTAATCTTTAAAAAAAGAGTACACAGCTCTTTACTAATGGTTAATTAAGAAATTATAAATAGTACATTTCTACTTGTTCTTACTCCAAAATACTTATTTTTCCTATCTATATTTATCTTTAGTTTATTTGTATGTTTAAGCTCAGTTAAGACTAAAAGTTAGAGGATAGAACATAACTATACCTGGTTTGGATTTGGGCAAAGGCCGTTTGAAGAGGTTAACCGTGCCCAGATCACCTATGTCTGGAGCCTGTTTTTGAATGGAAACCTGTATGACAATAAAAACACATACACAAATGTTAGCAAATTAGTCTCTGGGCTATTAATAAGAAATTACTTGAAAAATACTCTGACAAATACCTTAATATATGCAGATCCCTCTAAATCACTTGGAATTTGAACATCCAGGGGACAGTAATCTTCAGGTATCTTCTTATCTAGATCAATATCTGTATTCTTTATTACCTCAAATGTACCATGATGGGGAAAGAGAGATCCTAGTAGGGTATTAAAAATAGGAGAGTAAAAAGCAATGAACACATTTAACATACATTATTAAGTATAAAGTAATATTTCACATCCACATCATTGAATCATAAATTAAGTTCCCACCAAAACATGTGTTCAGGGGAAAAGAGGAAGGGGTAGTGAGCAAAGGGAAGAAAGAAAGCAGGAGAAAAGTTTTATTTACCTTAAAAAAAATAACACTCTGTGTAGTCTAATGCTATCATTATAATACAAACTTCATCCAAATTGTTTTATTCCAATGGAATTTTGATAAAATGAATATACTTCTTTTTAAAATATATATATATTTTATTGGGAATCAAGCCTGCAATCTGGGTATGTGCCCTAACAGGGAATCAAATCGTGACCTCCTGGTTCATAGCCCAATGCTTAACCACTGAGGCACGCGGCTAGGCAAAATGAATGTACTCCTTGGAGATTAAATACTTTTGGAGCTCGGCCTCTAGAATCAGATTGCAACTGAAGTGTTCTAAATCCAGCAAGAGAAGGACAAAAGGACAGTGCGTATACTAGGTTTTTTCATGTTTTTTTGTTCAGTGCAAAAGTTTCAGTAAGTTGTTTTGACGGCTGTATTATGTCAAGAGTGGGTGATTACAAGTAATTGCTGTTTTATAACAAGGGAGGATGGTCAAGATCTTCTTGCAATTAGAAGCGAATGTAATCAAATCCTTTTATAATCATGTGTGACTGTCCCACAGAGAGAAATTGGGTAAAGTAGTTGCACATAATTTGTTGGAAAGAACTTACAACACCCACAGCTAGAAGTACAGCTTCTACAGACTGCCTAATAAAATGTAAAAATGTCTTATCATCTTGAATTCATCTTTGTAATGGGATTTTGCCTTCAGAATTCAAAATTTCCCAATTCACAGCAATGCTGAGGCATACAGGTCCTCCAATATTTGACTTAACCACCTCAATCTACCTTCCTTTAATTTTAGAATAATGCTGACTTGCTCTGGCAAATTAATCCTTTTAAAATACTGATCTACTCGCCCTGGCCGAGTAGCTCAGTTGGTTAGAGTATCAAGGTTGAGGGTTCGATCACCTGTCAGGGCACATACAAGAATCAACCAATGAAGGCGTAAATAAGTGAAAACAACAAATTGTTGTCTCTCTCTCTCTCCCTTCCTATCTCTCTCAAATAAACAAATTAAAAAACATATATTCATCTCTACTATTATTAGCTCAACAGTCACAGTGCTATAGATGTCCGACTGTCTGCTTAGGCCTGCTCCCCGTTAGTTGGACATCCCTGAGGGCTCCCGTACTATGAGAGGGTGCTGGCCAGGCTGAGGGACCCCCCTGCTTCCGAGTGCACAAATCTTGTGCAACGGGCCTCTAGTTTATATATATTTATCTAAGGCTATAAAAGTAATTTAGCTTCTTCAGGCTAAATTTACAGAAATTAAAACTTTAATATGTAACATGTAACTGAGACACAACATATTATAGAACTAGAGGTCCGATGCACGAAATTCGTGCAAGGGGCTTGGCCCTCGCAGCCCTGGCTGCCCTGGCCCTTGCAGCTCTGGCTTCATCCAGAAGGTCCTTCTGCTGTTTGGTCTATTTAGCATATTAGCTCTTTATTATATAGGATATGTAACAATACAATCAATTCTGTATCTTATTTTTACAAACTTTAGTTTAAAAGCACAGTTTTTAACAGTAATCTATACCTGCACTTCTATAGCTGAGATCTCCAAGAATTTTATCTCCAACTTTTCTAAGTTTCCAGTGTTGTCTTAATCTCAGCAGCTCAGAGTTGAAGTCTCTTTGTAGCTTATTTTCTTGATTTTCGGTAACTGATTTAGTCAGTCTTTCTGCGCCCTTCAATAGGATTTGTGCTGCTCCAGCAAGTGACTTCTTTTTAGATATCAACTGTAACGTCTGAGGATTCTACCAAAAACAATCCAAAAGTGTAATTCTGTATTATTTTTAAATGATTTGAAAATTACACATTTTCTCAGTAACAACATACCTACTAAAGAGATTCCTAAATTAAAGCAAAGAGGGGGAAAATACACATAATAATATAACCTTAACCCATTTCTTTGGTCAATTCAAATAAAGACTTACATTAAACCAAAAACAGCACAGTGGGCTACTCATCTGAACTGACCCCTGCATCACTCTGCCCAGCCTCGGGTAGGCTCCCTCCCTCTTGTGTATGCCGTTCCTTTCCTGTGTCTTGACACTCCTCACTCACGTGTATACTCTTTTGTGGCACTTATTAAACTTCTGATTAAGGTCTATAATCCCTACTTGAATTGTAACCTATGATGGCAGAAACCATTATATCCACAGGCCCTAGAACAATGCCTGGCTCATTACATTTTATTTAATGAATAAATGAATGACTCCACTGACTACAGCTGTAAAATTATCTTATATTACAGTGAGCTACCTAAGTGCCTTTCAAATGAATATTAAAACCAAGCAGCATTAATATTAAACGTATTTCACTGAATGCTAATTTTTGGAAAACTAATGAGAAATCAAAATCTATGTGCTATATACACATACATACATATCAATAGTCACCACCAATTTGTGTAGTACATTAACCACACATACTTCCAAACAGAAAGTTTTCTGGCTATGTAAGAGTCAAAATCATAAAGTTTCACAGCTATGCCACAATAATGATCATGTTAGAGAACTTAATTCTAAGTTCCTGAAGAGTTCAAGAAACTCCTGTTCTGGCTATGTAAGAGTCAAAATCATAAAGTTTCACAGAAATGCCACAATAATCCTTTGATCATGTTAGAGGACCTAATTCTAAGTTCCTGAAGAGCTCAAGAAACTCCTGCGACTCCTTTCTGGGAGAAGCACAGAGGTGGAAAAGGCAGTGGGCTATGAATGAGGTGCTGGAGGTCTCAGCTTGGCTCTCTAACCACTGGCCTTACTGCAATCTGAACACATCACTGAACTCCCTGGGCTTAGTTTTCTCTCTGAAAGATGAAGGAAGCAGATTTAATGATTTCTAAGAAGTCTTCCAAACCAATGTTTCTAGATTCTGAAACTATTTCCACATGAGTAATTAAGTAATTCACTTAATTATTTCCTCTCCACGCCACTAACTTGGTCACGGTCCTGATGCTTGCTTTCCTTAAAAACCTTCTCAGCTGACCTCCCCGATTTCAGACTCTTCATTCACCAATTCACCCTTTTTCCGCATCCCTTTCATCTTCTAATGCTCAAACCATGAATATACTCATCAGATCTCAATATCCTTGCTTTCAATATCCTCCATTAATTCGGCTTTTCTAATTTTTCTAACCAGGCCCTAAAAATGAGGGGAGGGATTAGAAGGAAAAACTGAGAAAATAACTTACTCAAGGTCACAGGGCTATTGAGGGCAGAGGCAGGATTTGAACCCAGGTCCATCTGACCCCAAAGCCATTCTGTCATAACATTTTTGTTTAATACATTGTAGACTAACGATGCAGGCTGTAAGACTTTGTTAAGATTTGGGAAACTTTAAAGTATTATATTGTTAATGAGACTTAACTCTTCCAAGGGTCACAGGAATATTAATAAAATAATATACCAGTATAAAGGATATACAGTTTTATGACTTTGTTTTGAGCCAGTTAGTCTTTAAATCTTCACCTTGACTTAATTTTGCATGAAAGGAAAAGGGAACAGTAGGCACACAGCCTAAAAAGTGATCCTGGGGTTTAACAAAATGGTACCATTATCCAGCTAAAGCCCACAAATACCTGTTTTGGAGGAAGTCCATCTTGAGAAACGGGATCAAGAGTCATAAATTTTTTATCCCTAACGATACTGAGAACATCATAGAGAACGCACATCTCTGTCAGGGCACTTCTCAAATTGTTCCTCACTGAGTCCCAAGGCCAAAGGGAAGGCTGAAATTTTACCAACCCTGAAAAGAAAAAGAAAAAAAGGAACACACGAATATTAGTTATAATGAATAGAAGCCAGGAAGCCAATTCAGAGGTTTAAAGTACTAAAAGAAGAAATAATAAATTTTATTTCAAAATTGAATCCTCTTTTATCCTACGCCCTCTACCCTTTCGTGAATCTTTAACATTTAAGTTAGTATTCCTACAAAGGCAAAACAAATGATACCTAATATCCATAGGTTAAATCTAACATTACAACATGACAGATAGGCATTCAAGTATCTTTATAAATTTATGCAGGCCTTTTAAGTAACCTTTTCTTCCAGCTTTTAAAATGTGAATAAGGAATTATAGAGAATTTCCAAAATATAGGAAAGTACAAAAATAAAAATGGCCTATAATTGTAGCATTCAGATATTATGCACTATTACCATATCTTCCAACTTCTTAATCATTTTTAAAATTAAACTTCATGAACACATGCTTATTGTATGAAGTTCAAACAATAGACAGTTACAGTGTAAAAAGTGAAAGTTTTCCTTTATTCCCCACCCTAATTTTCTCCCTCCCTGAAAGGTAATCATTATTAGCAGTTGGGGTGTACCGGTCCACATGTTTTTCTGTGTATTTATCTTGTGTATGCCGTTCCTTTCCTGTGTCTTGACACTCCTCACTCACGTGTATACTCTTTTGTGGCACTTATTAAACTTCTGATTAAGGTCTATAATCCCTACTTGAATTGTAACCTATGATGGCAGAAACCATTATATCCACAGGCCCTAGAACAATGCCTGGCTCATTACATTTTATTTAATGAATAAATGAATGACTCCACTGACTACAGCTGTAAAATTATCTTATATTACAGTGAGCTACCTAAGTGCCTTTCAAATGAATATTGAAACCAAGCAGCATTAATATTAAACGTATTTCACTGAATGCTAATTTTTGGAAAACTAATGAGAAATCAAAATCTATGTGCTATATACACATACATACATATCAATAGTCACCACCAATTTGTGTAGTACATTAACCACACATACTTCCAAACAGAAAGTTTTCTGGCTATGTAAGAGTCAAAATCATAAAGTTTCACAGCTATGCCACAATAATGATCATGTTAGAGAACTTAATTCTAAGTTCCTGAAGAGTTCAAGAAACTCCTGTGACTCCTTTCTGGGAGAAGCACAGAGGTGGAAAAGGCAGTGGGCTATGAATGAGGTGCTGGAGGTCTCAGCTTGGCTCTCTAACCACTGGCCTTACTGCAATCTGAACACATCACTGAACTCCCTGGGCTTAGTTTTCTCTCTGAAAGATGAAGGAAGCAGATTTAATGATTTCTAAGAAGTCTTCCAAACCAATGTTTCTAGATTCTGAAACTATTTCCACATGAGTAATTAAGTAATTCACTTAATTATTTCCTCTCCACGCCACTAACTTGGTCACGGTCCTGATGCTTGCTTTCCTTAAAAACCTTCTCAGCTGACCTCCCCGATTTCAGACTCTTCATTCACCAATTCACCCTTTTTCCGCATCCCTTTCATCTTCTAATGCTCAAACCATGAATATACTCATCAGATCTCAATATCCTTGCTTTCAATATCCTCCATTAATTCGGCTTTTCTAATTTTTCTAACCAGGCCCTAAAAATGAGGGGAGGGATTAGAAGGAAAAACTGAGAAAATAACTTACTCAAGGTCACAGGGCTATTGAGGGCAGAGGCAGGATTTGAACCCAGGTCCATCTGACCCCAAAGCCATTCTGTCATAACATTTTTGTTTAATACATTGTAGACTAACGATGCAGGCTGTAAGACTTTGTTAAGATTTGGGAAACTTTAAAGTATTATATTGTTAATGAGACTTAACTCTTCCAAGGGTCACAGGAATATTAATAAAATAATATACCAGTATAAAGGATATACAGTTTTATGACTTTGTTTTGAGCCAGTTAGTCTTTAAATCTTCACCTTGACTTAATTTTGCATGAAAGGAAAAGGGAACAGTAGGCACACAGCCTAAAAAGTGATCCTGGGGTTTAACAAAATGGTACCATTATCCAGCTAAAGCCCACAAATACCTGTTTTGGAGGAAGTCCATCTTGAGAAACGGGATCAAGAGTCATAAATTTTTTATCCCTAACGATACTGAGAACATCATAGAGAACGCACATCTCTGTCAGGGCACTTCTCAAATTGTTCCTCACTGAGTCCCAAGGCCAAAGGGAAGGCTGAAATTTTACCAACCCTGAAAAGAAAAAGAAAAAAAGGAACACACGAATATTAGTTATAATGAATAGAAGCCAGGAAGCCAATTCAGAGGTTTAAAGTACTAAAAGAAGAAATAATAAATTTTATTTCAAAATTGTATCCTCTTTTATCCTATGCCCTCTACCCTTTCGTGAATCTTTAACATTTAAGTTAGTATTCCTACAAAGGCAAAACAAATGATACCTAATATCCATAGGTTAAATCTAACATTACAACATGACAGATAGGCATTCAAGTATCTTTATAAATTTATGCAGGCCTTTTAAGTAACCTTTTCTTCCAGCTTTTAAAATGTGAATAAGGAATTATAGAGAATTTCCAAAATATAGGAAAGTACAAAAATAAAAATGGCCTATAATTGTAGCATTCAGATATTATGCACTATTACCATATCTTCCAACTTCTTAATCATTTTTAAAATTAAACTTCATGAACACATGCTTATTGTATGAAGTTCAAACAATAGACAGTTACAGTGTAAAAAGTGAAAGTTTTCCTTTATTCCCCACCCTAATTTTCTCCCTCCCTGAAAGGTAATCATTATTAGCAGTTGGGGTGTACCGGTCCACATGTTTTTCTGTGTATTTATATACATACTAGTGACCTGGTGCATGGATTCCTGCACATTGAAAGGAAATTAATTAGAAGGTGACTGGCGGGGGGGGAATGGGAGAGGGGGATCCGATACGCCCTGGAGCCAACTTCCTGTGGTCCCTCCCCAGCATCTGAGGAGTGAGTGGGGTCCCTCCAGCAGGTGGGGATCGGGCCGAAACCGGCTCTCAACATCCCCCAAGGAGTCCTGGAGTGCAAGAGGGCACTCTGCAAAGTTACTGTCCCACAGGGTGTGGAAAGCAAACGCAAGTGTGCAGTAAACCAGATTTGGGCCGACAGTGCCCCAGCAACAATATAACCCAAGGCCGAAGGTAGAGTCACGCAGCGCCGCAAGGAATCTCCAGCTCCTTCCTCTCCAGTTTCGGGGTGCGTCACCCGAGAACTGCTGCTGCCAAGTCACTGCAGCTTGGCAGCTCCTGCGTTGAGCATCTGCCTCCTGGTGGTCAGTGCGGGTCATAGTGACCAGTTGGATGGTAGGAGGGACACTTAGCATATTAGCCTTTTCTATATATAGATACTCCTATATTTCTATTACTTGCTTCCCCCGCCCCACCCCTACTTATTTGTTTTAGAGACACTTCCATATCAGCACATATAGATTTACTTCATTCTTTTATCACAGTATGATATTCTAAAGTATGGCTATACAATAAGTTTAACCATTCCTATTTAATGGACAGGTAGATTAGATCCAACAATGCTAGCAGCAGTAAACATCTTGAATACACATTTGTGTACATGTACTATGTTTTGTGTAGGTTAAATTTTAGTCGAAATATTAGTGGGTCAAAAGAGATGCACATTTAAAAATTCTGACACATACAATCTTCAGAGAAATGCAAATTAAAACCACAATGAGAGCCCTGGACGGTTTGGCTCAGTGGATAGAACATCGGCCTGTGGACTGAAGGGTCCCGGGTTCAATTCCAGATCAAAGTTTGTAGGTTTGATCCCTGGACCTGGTAGGGGCATGAGCGGAAGGCAACCAATTGATGTGTCTCTCTTACATTGATGCTTCTCTCTGTCTCTTCCCCTCCCTTCCACTCGCTCTAAAAATCAATGGGAAAAATATCCTCAGGTGAGGATTAACAAAACAAACAAACAAAAACCCACAATGAACTATCACCTCATACCTATCAGAATGGCTATCATTAAAAAAAAATCAACAAACAAGTGCTGGTGAGGATGTGCTGAGGATTAACAAAACAAACAAACAAACAAACAAAAACCCACAATGAACTATCACTTCATACCTATCAGAATGGCTATCATAAAAAAAAAAATCAACAAACAAGTGCTGGTGAGGATGTGGAGAAAAGGGAACACTAGTTTAATACTGGTGGGAATGCAGACTGGTGCAGCCATTACAGAAAACAGTATGGAGTTTCCTCAAAAAATTAAAAATGGAACTTCCGTTTGACCCAGCGATCCCACTTCTGGGAATACATCGTAAAAACCCCAAAACACCAATCAGAAAGAATATATGCACCCCTATGTTCATAGCAGCATTATTAACAATAGCTAAGAGTTGGAAACAGCCCAAGTGCCCATCAGTAGATGAAAGGATAAAAAAGTTGTGGGACATTTACACTATGGAAGATTATGCAGCTGTAAAACAGAGGGATCTCTTACCCTTTGGGACAGCATGGATGGGCCTGGAAAATATTATGCTAATAAGCCAAACTGAGAAAGAGAAATATCACATGAACTCACTTATTTGTGGAATCTAATGAACAAAATGAATTGAGTAGGAACCCGAAGCAGGGAGACATGGAACATACTGACATACCTGGATGTGGGATTGAGGGGATGGGAAGAGATAAACCAAAGAAATTATATACATATATGCATAGTCCATGAATATGGCCAACAGGGTGGTGAAGATGGGGGCGCGGGGGAGATGAGTGAGGGTTGGGAGGGGGGGATAGAGGAGTAAATGGGAGATATCTGTAATACTATCAACAATAAAAATACATTAAAAAATAAAATAAAAAAGAATTATTTAAAGATGGGGGGGCAGGGGAGATGAGTGAGGGATGGGGGGGGATAGAGGAGTAAATGGGAGATATCTGTAATACTATCAACAATAAATATACATTAAAAAATAAAATTAAAAAATTATTAAAATAAAAATTCTGATACATACAGAACTGCCAAATTGTTTCCCAAAAAGGCTCTATCAATTCACATTCCAAACCCTGGATATTAACAATCTTTTAAATTTCTGCTAATCTTATGCATGAAAATAGTATCTTAATGATGTTTTAACTTGCCTCTCCCTACTAGAGAGATCTGAGGTCTTTCCTCTGTGAGCTGACTGTTTATATCTTTGGCTTATTTTTCCCGTGACTTGTCTTTTCCTTTGCAGGTTGAAGGGAATCTGAATATGAGGGATATTAACCACTGGGTGCCAATATTTTTCCCAGTCCATCACCTATCTTTTCACGTTGTTTATGACTACTCCTGTTGCCTACAACTATAACAAGAATTGTGGATATTTTTTATCCTTGACAAGCATGAGAACCCCAAAACCACTCATGTTTTTTCTACAATTCTCTAGCTGGCCTCCCTCCTTCCAGTTTTGTTTTCCATTTACTACATAGCATCCTGAGTAATCTTTTTAAACAAAATCATCTGTCTACTTAAAATCCTTCCAAAGCTTCCATTTTGTCCTGATAAAAGCCAAATGCTTATCCTGGCCGACTAGACTTGGCCGCTGTCTACCACTTACACCTTTATCTCATGCTCCAATCAATACAGGTGTTACTATCAACATTCACACTGCACAGAGAAACATCTTAACCAGAGTGTGCCAAGTGACAACAGCTCGATTAAAAACGTAAACACTGCACCAGTAACATGTCTCAAACGCTCCAACTCAAGGAAACTTGCAGAAAGATACGGAGTACTGATAGTAAAAAAAAACCCTAAATTGTCCAGCTATTAAAAAAAAAAGAAAAAAGATCCCTGGCTGGTTGCTCAGTGGTTAGAGCATCCGCCTGTGGCCTGAAGGGTCGCGGGTTCGATTCCGGTCAAGGGCAGGCGCCTCAGTTGCAGGCTCAATCCTGGGGCGCCTGCGGGAGGCAACCAATTGACTGTCTCTCTCTCACATCGATGTTTCTCTCTGTGTGTCTCTCCCTCTCCTTTCCAGTCTCTAAAAATCCATGGATAAAATATCCTCGGGTGAGGATTAACAAAAACAAAACAAAAAAAAGAGCACAGTGACTGTTCTACCGGGCGTTACTTTCATACAAACCTCTGACTTTCACAAAGACACCCAGCATCTCACGAAGCACAGAAGAGGAGGCAGGGTGGCATTCCCCGGGCGGGGAGCAGGACGCCCGGAACCGGCGGACGACGCGAGCGGCAGCACCGGGCCTTACCTTCCTCGTCGTCCTG